AACGGTTTCTGAGATCGCGAGCTATGCGGACAATGTGCCTTCAACATGCTGACGCGCACTGACGCGCGCACCGGTTTTTGCAACATCCACCATGGATATGAGAACCCTCTAATAAACTCTTTCATAGAGGTTTATGCCGCCGCTCATTTAGTGTTGCGAGGACCGCAGACATGCAGGACATTTTCAAGGGTCTTGTTATTTCTTGTTATAGCACAACTATAATGGAAATAATGCACCCTTCCGCCCACCTTCCGCGGTATAAAAAGCGGCTTCAGCGTTGCAGTTCTTGAACTCCAGCTTCCAGGGATCCCTTTTGCGAAACGTTTTCGATACGTTTGCTGATAGTTCCTGGCGCGAATTCGGTAATCATAGCCTATACCAGACAGAGAGCTGATGATGGCGGCCGCTAAAGCTACCGCAATTCTTCTACAGCACAGGACGGTCATGATTTCGGACAGTTTATACCTATGATTTTCCGGCTCGTCTTGTCAAGAGCGCCGTAAAACACCCCAGCTCATTTGACTGGGATCATCAGTTGCTATCCCATAATGTGGTGCAGGTGTCTTGCCAAAGTGACCCAATGGTGGCCCAATTGAATTCCTGAACCAAATTCCTCTACTGACAGGCTGCCAACACTGTCGGACATTGGCGTGGAAATGTCCTGGAGATGTGTTGAGCATCATCGATGAGAGCTCTCCTTGTTCAGCCCGTGAAGTTTGGTGATGTCGCTCGTCCAACGTCTGTCCCCTGCCAGTGTCCTGCTAGAATTGCGCTGACGAAAAAAATGTGCAAGACTGTCATGCGTTTGATTCTCAAGTTTAGAAGGATTTTGGGGCATTGTTTCACAGTGGTGCCCCTGCTTCCCTGCATGCTGGGATGAAACTGTTCCGTTTTTGAACAATCTTCAAGCCTTTATGCTCATGTGATATCCGCTGAGGCTGGAGCCCTGGGGCGGCTGGATTTAAGGACAACTGCGGCTCCAACTCCAAGTTCTGATCATCTACACATGGGAACCTAAGCCCTCTTCAAACCACACTCCAGTTCTGCCGCCCTCGCTGAGGCGTGACTTGCACAAATTCTGCACCGGTGAGCGTCCGTTTCCGAGGCTCAAGAAGGAAGGAGGAAGGAGACAAGAGAAGATGGTGAAGTGAGAGAACAAAGAAGTGCAGTGAAGATTCGCGGCAAGCCTCAACTTATGACGCCCCTGCTTCTACCCTGCACATCCCGTGATGCAGCCATTGAAATTTGATTTCTGGGCTTCATCTTTCGCTTTCTTACAACCTTACAGCACTCTGCCAAGTGTTGATGCAAGACTGAACGGCAAGACTTGCTCAAAAACATGCCCGTGCGACATAGATCACAATTGCGCAACTCCAAAGGTCACTGGCAGCAAGCGCATGTCGATCACCCTGCGAATCCTCAACGAAGCATCAACAGTTGAATGGCAAGCGCAGACAACCAAGAACCACAGCCGTGGCTTACTTGGACTCAGCTGAAGTTGCTGAAGTTGCTGAAGCTGAGTCTGCGCACGCGCACCAAGGAACTCCACCGCTTTGAGAAGAGCTCCGGCGCCATGTAGGGGACGCTGCCATTCACCTTCGGAAAGCTTAAACATCTTAAACGTTTGCAAACAGCTCCAACTCTCGAGTTCAGTAAAGTTTTGCTTCGCTTTGAAGTCTAAACCGCTTCGGGCATTTCGGGCCTGTCCCTCAGCCTGGCTCTCTGGACACCTTTCACGAGACGCTGCACGCGAGTCTCACGGCTCTTCTGCTACAAGTGTGCATTGACGACGGCCCACCGGATGTGGGTGGCGATGCCAAAGTCGGCCAATTTCAATGTTGCACCTGCTGGGTCCTCTCAAGGCATCCGCTGGCGAAGGTCTTCTGCCTCTAGCACTTGCACCCTGTGCTCGTTGCCTCATCGACTCGGCCTTCTAGCAAAAAGTTCTCGGGCCTTGTCCCGAATAGAAAACGGCAGCTAACAAAGCAAATGACGAAGGCCTTCCACACATGTTATGCTCCCGGCTTAACGTCCCGATGAACAATGCCCATCGAATGGCAGTACCTTGCGATGGACATTAAAGGATAATAGCAAGATTTTTCGAAATGATTACATAAAGGAGCTGCAGTACTCTGCCATTTGAGCGCACGCCAAGGCATTGAGCATTTGCTCCGCAAAAGATCTTGCGACGTTCTCCGGTAGATGACCATTAGGGGATTCGGTCACCAAACCTCAGAGACTTTTGTGACTTTTCATGTTCCTTCTCCAACCCCTCCAAACGAGCAAGACACTGAAAAGATCGCCGCCGCAGCAATACTCCATCAGGAGAAAGACTGCCTGTCAAAGCTAAGCGTTCTGTTCCTGATACTATGTAGAAATTTCAGAAGTGCGCCACTCTGGCTGGAGTGCCAAACTTGGTGCATTCATGTGCCAGCCTCAGCGTCTTCATTGACTTCGTAGAGCCGGACAACGTTCGGGTGGTCCAGCATGCGCAGATTCTGCCAACGATTCAAGGCAGATTTCAAGACTCTCTGGAGTCTACCGCTGAGGTGCCTTAATCTCAGCGCGCAGAGCACTGGAGTCTTGCTCTGCCTGAGGACTGCTGCATGCAAGTCCCTAGGAAAGCCCATCTAGCAAGCCAGTCCGTGCAGCGCACCTTGTGAAGAACTTTGCATGCGTAGTACTGCTCGCTCACCTTGTGCTGAACCTCAATTTCGCGGTTGCTTGCTACAGTGTTCAGCTCGGAAGGTATGGTCGCAGAATTCCTTCGAGGATGTTGCAATGAACACGGCACCATTCCGGCCCTCACCAACCAGATTGACCATGTTGTAGTCTTGGTACCTTTCAGCATTTTGACAGCGGAGTAGAGGTATGTAGAGTTCTACGGCGCGCACGTGTCGCTAAGCTTCCGGTGCCAACAGTGTACCAGGGCATCTCCTGGTGCCCAGCGAAAAGACGTCGACGTCATCTGCTTGGAAACCTGAGTTACTGCTCAAGCACTGCTCGGAGATTCTTGTTTTGCCACAGGTCAGGCAGAATTGGCTCAGGGAAGCGCCCAAGTGGAAGTGACTGTATTCACAGAAGAGAATGATGAGTTGGGTGTTGCATGTGGGATGTCACCTGGCCATCCCGATTCCAGAAAAAAGCTCAACCTTAAGCTTGTGAAGCAACAGCCTGACAGCGCGCCAGATGACTTTGATCTCGTGTATGGTGCTACGCCCCTGCATGCAAGGTCTTTGCAGCAGACTTGCCCGCAAAACTTCGCCCATCACCAGACCTCTCACTGCTAAGGGAGGCGTTGGATTTGAAGCTGAGAAGTGGAACAGGGCCAGGAGGCCGCCTAGCGCGGATTAGCGCAGACAGTCATGCGACAGTCATCTGAGACCCTTGGTGGGGCTGGTGGACAGACCACCTCCCCTTTCTTTCGGGCGTGGTGACAGTCTCCGTGACATAGTTCACCTTCTCATCATTGGAAACAGCCCCTGGCAGACACCAAGCACTTGCTGGCCTGCTCCACTTCCCGTCTGGGGATTGGAATGCCAATGGTCACTTGCTGAAGGTTGGCCTGGCCGCAGCACGTGCTCAAAATTGCAGCTGCAGTTGCATCAGCTTGAATCTTCCTTTATGACATCTAGCAACTGCTCATGCTTGGTGGACCAGAACCTTCTGGGGACGGCCTGTTGATTTTTGCAGGACGGCGGAGGAAGCATTTCTCCCCGTGTCACGCGAGGGTCTCTAGATGTCTCTATACTTTATGGCACCACCGCCGGTGGCGCGGGCCGGTGGCCTGGACTTCATACCAAATATGTCAGTTTATACGCTAGATCAGGTGGCAAGCTCCAAGTGTCAGATCTCATGTTACATGCTTCATTTGTTTGCAGGAGGCCATGATACGCATAGGATCCGGTGCCCTGGCCATACTCCCCATGGTATGGTCCCCTGACCAAGCCTCTCAAAACTGCGAGCCTCGTAACCTCTCCTTATTTGACGTGGCAGTTTCAGAAGTGCCAACATACGGGTGGGCGCGAACAGTCACAACAGTGGTGGGCGCCCCGGAGCAACGGTCATTTTGTTGATGTTGCAAATCACAATAACGCCAGCAATCACAGGAATGATGCATGTCCCACACCGCCCACGCCACAGAAGACCACCCGTACCCCAGGGCGTGGGGAGGAAGATCTGATGGCCCTTAAACAAACCCAACGCTGAATTTCTACACACTTCAGAAAACGTCCATATCAATTGCTTCCAGCCGGAAGACAGCTCGCTGCTTCTGCGCGCTGAATGCCCCGACAAATCCGACTTAAGCAGAGATTTCCGCGCTGCTACCATTTTGTTCATGCTCTTGGGGCCCTCATTCTCCATCACGAAAACAAAACACGAAGATGACGTCCTCCTTTTCTCAATCTCAGCCCAAACCTTCCATGCACATGACCAGCACCTTTTTTGACCACAACAGCCCAACGTGGCTCAAAGTGCATCTCACTCCCCAACCAATCTGGTCCATCTTCGACAGCGGGAATTTCAGGGTTACCGTTAGCTCGAACTCGTTCCTGGAGATGTGCTCCCGTTTGGCTGCGATTAACTCAGCGCATGTCAGCATCCATATGGTTGCCCAGCAAAAGCCAGCGCGGGCTCTGCAATCTGCAGGTGTTGTCTGCAGTTGCATTTGGCCACCCCCACGTCACCCAGCTTGAGCTCTGTTGCTCTTTCCACTGTGCTCAAGCCGCGACATGCCGCGACTAACTGATCTCCTGGCCTAGTCAGCCTCGGTAGCCTTGAACGCAAATCTGAAACGTGGTAGCCCTGCTCGATGCGCCACAACTTGAGCTCGTTGATCAAGGCCCCGGCCAATTTCAAGCCAGCGGAGCTTGCGCGAGGACTGTTGCGCGCCTCTATTCGATTTTGCCAAGAAATCCTTCTTCAATCCTTCCACCAGCACAAAAATTTAAGAGTGGAATCACAACGACGGCCAGCCATTGGTTGGCCAGCACAGCTAGCAGATCCGCTCTGGGATCTTTGGGCTGGAAAATTACCACCTACATAGCAGCAAACTGCGCGTCAAATTTCAACTTGCCAGCGCAAAACATGGGGAGCATACACCAACGGACATGCAACAGCGAGCACGTGAACTGCAAGCGGACGGAAACCCTACAGTGTTAGCCGCGCCCATCTACTTTTTCACAGATGATCGTACACGCCGTGCTCTCCCTCGGCGCTGAAGCCGCCACCGCCTTCGGACGCAGGACTGGCAAAAAGGAACCAAGTTTGCAGGTTCACCGTCATGTCCCTGACCTTGTGGCTCAGCCAAATTTCCGGAGCTGGCGTGTTCTCCTGCTTGGCGGGTCTAGACAGCCAATCAGCCTCCATATTGAGAGTGCCTGAGATGTGGTGGCCAATCAGGACGCGGATGCCTCCTCCAGATCCCATGAGAGACAAGTGCCCAAATAGCTAAGCGCCGGCGATCCGGACCATAGCCAGCGCAACCACCGAATCATTGTGGATGAAAAAGAATGAGCCTCTCAGCTTATCCCGCCTGTGCAGCGCCACCACCAGCGCCAGAGCTTCCAAGGGACCCTGCGAGCCAGACTCGCTGAAGGGAATGCCCCAGAACTTGGCAAGGTCCTCATTCACGCTCGACTTCAGCGCAACCATGGGCTCGAACGACTTCAAGGCTAGATTGGCAGTCTTTCCTAAAGGCCTGAATACTTCGACAACAACGACATTGGTCCGTCTGGGCCTCCTGGTCCCGAAGAACTGCTGCGGGTGAGCAACGTGCCATCGTCAGCCTTTTTTTGAAATCTTGCTTTGTTGGTCGCAAGTCCATATATATACTCTCCGTCTTGCTCGTCACAGGCGGCGGTCCCTGGCCAGAGCTGTTCCATCTCGCTGTAGAGAAAATTCCGCAACGTGGGCCCGCATGACTTGCATCCCATTCTCCCTCACGAGCTCCTTTTATCAAAGAGAGAAAAAGCTCATCTGACAAAAGGTTCTCTTTGTTCGGGCCCGGCAGATCAATAGCCCGCGCCTGGACCACCAAGCCGGCCTTCTCTGCTTCTTCTCTCGGCGCACACCCTAGCACATCATTCTTTCCAAAAAAGGCATGAAAAACTTGAAGAATGTGTCTGTGCCTTCGCAAACAGCTCACCGACAGCCACATTAACCCAAGAGCAGACCCCCGCTTCCCCTTTTCTTGCACTTAAGCGGACAAGCACCGTTGCGATGAGACGGGGACAAACAAAACTGGCATTTGCGCGCCCTCTTGATCTGGCATTTGCATTCGCCCCGGGGATAGTCTGCACACGAACCCGTGCCTGAAGCCCCACTAACGCACAATTGCAAGCTTGCCTGGTCCTTGGACTTGCCTTTGCCAACCCCCTTCTTCTGGTTGCCGTTGCCCGCCTCAGCCTCAGCCCTGCGCGCCCGACCTCAGCCGCTGAAGTTCCTCTCGCTGGTCTTGCGATCGTTTCTGCTCTGTTGTGACGGGTGGCCTGCTTCTTGCGATCCACGTTGCCAGCTGGCAGAACCACGTCAACGCCCACAAAGTGTGCCCCTGCAACCGCTTCGGCTGCAGCCACGGTGCTCCTGGCCCTCCCTGCTGCACCAGGCGACCACCGGATGACGTGCCTGTTCAGAACAAGATGTCTCATCTTCGTGCGGGCTTGAAAACAAGACCTCCATGGATTATGTGCACCCCAGTCCGCTGGCACGGTCTTGCCCTGGGCGATAAGAAGCCCCAACCGCAGGCCACTGCACCACCAAGCGTTCCATCATCTTCTCATAGTTGAGGAGCGCCGTCAGAGACACTATTCCAAGCACTATGGCTGCTGTCTTAAAAGCCTTCCAGCAATCTGCCCCACTGGTGATAGATTTGTGGACCTGGTAGTTCTCGAAGTAAATAACTTCCATCTCCGAGATAAGCGTACATGCGGAAATTTTGTGTCCTGAATGTCCTCCTGCCAAAGGGCACCGACACTCCGAAGTCCAGATATGGTGCCTGTTTCAGCACCACCACACTGTTGCGCAACCCTGCAAGTTAGGACCTCCCATATGGAGCACATACCTTTGGAGCCAGGCCTGTATAAGCGATTTGTCTGGTGGCAACAACTCACATTCGTCCGTCTGAACCACGAACGAAACCATCTTCGAGACGTTTGCTTTGGCTGCCGATGCCGCGAGCTTGGCTGAAGCTACAAGTGCTCTGCGCGCATCCCAGGGATCCACGTCAACAAATTCATCTTCGTTGCCCCCTTCTTTGACAAAGATTATCTTCCTAGCTGAGCGCCACACCATCCCCAATTGAGCAGCCTGAATGACAATTGCCCATGTGCTCAGTCCCGTCTGGATATTGCTACTGGCTTGAACTATTGCCCATTTATTGAGCGCAGCCACTTGCCTAACATCTCCGTCCGGATTTCCATGACATCTTCCACAAAGGTGCGGGCAAAGCCAAGAACGTCAGAAAGTCATTGAGGTCACTGCAAGAGGCCGACTCAGCTTTCGTAGGAAGCACACTGATGGCTGCTCGCGCTCCCTAAAACGAAAAATTAATCCACGCAAAGACCCAACAGCAAGTCAGAGCCGTTTTTAATGAATGCAGCGGGTTTACTTGGAATTTTCACCTGGCCAGAGAACTAGCGGATGACCAGTTAAGAGATATACAAGGTAGAAGCATGGCCCCAAACCCTGAAAAGATAGCCCAAAAGACAACGTTTCTACCTGCTTTCGGGGTTTGGGCAGGGCACAGATCATCGGGATCAAGGGTCAGACAGGCGATTACAAGAGGAATAGTGACAGCAAGGCCCTTAAAAGGACGGGGTTTTTTATTCACGGGTCTACATCAGGGGGTGGAAGGGGCGGTTGAAGGGTAGGCGACAGTGTTAGTTTCAGGATGTGGGATTTCCGTAGTCCTTTTCTTGAAGCCCTAAACCTTAAGCTCTACACCTTTAACCCTGAAACCCCAAACCCTAGTCCCTAAACCTTGAACCCTAAACTTTAAACCGCGTAGACCGCTCAAAGGTATTTACCCAGCGACTTCAGAGGGCCCTTTCTGTCCGAATAAAAGCCGTCAAGGTTTTTTTCTCGGACCTTTTCTCCCCGCCGAACGAGTCCACGGGAAGATGCTTAAAAGCACGGCCCCTGCGAGCCCGTGAGCCTGCTCGGACAGACTCCCCGTCCCTGTGCTGCAGCCCTCAGGGCCACGAAGGGCAGGCAAAGCCGTCAAGGTTTAGGGTTTAAGGTTTACGGATCAAAACAGCATAACCATACATGCGCGATTTGGCAGTATATCCCTACCTTCTCTTGGTTGGTACGCACCTGATTAGGTAGGCGGCGTATAGTTGGGCTGTAACTACAGCTATAATTGGGTTACAATGACCATGGATCTCCAAGTTGAAAGCCATACACTTTGTAGGTTGAAGCCCCCTTTTATGGAGCAAGGAGGAATAGGCTTTTAGAGTAAATCTCTCAATGTCAAACACATGCAACCTGCCATATCATCCCCGCACAAGTTCAGGGCTTAGGGCATCCTCACACAGAGCCCGATTTAAGCCCTATACAACACCAGCATCAGCCTGGGCCTGGGCCCCATATATAGGTCTTTGCTACCCTAAGCCTTAGACCCTAAACCTTAACCTTAGACCTTAAACCCTTAACCCAAAACCCTAAAACCACCTGTAAAGCAGAAATTGTACTTTCCACATCCAGCGTAAGATCGCAGCAGCGCTTGCAGGCAACTGGCGCCAGCAACGGTCAACAGCCCGCGGCGGCTGTGCACCAGGGCCCGAGCCTCTGCTGCAAGCCCCCTCTTCCCTGCCAGGACAATTGACGCACAGCCATGCTGCACGGCCCCTAGCGCCGATTCGTATCTCGGCATGAACACACGCACGCATCAGCACAGGCATCGCTCGAGCACTCTTACTCTGAAGAGGAATACATCGACCTTGCAACGCCGCCTGCAGATGTCAGCCTCGCTAGGACATGGCCCGCACAGCCCCCTCTTCGATAAGGAAGCAGAGATAGTAGAGCAGTTTGCACGCGAGCAAACCAGAGGAGGACCCACCAGACAAGCAAGCCGGCCTTTGCACATTCGCGGTCTCCGGGCCGAACAGCTCCAGCAGGCCCTGCTGGACACTGGCATCGCCAGCGTCTCAGACTCTCAGACCGTGCATACGCACGCATTGACGCAGAAGATCTTTCCAACTTCGTGTCAAAGTTGCCTTCTTTGCTATGGGAGCAGCTTCACGTCACGGACCCAGATCACAGCCCTAGCAGTTGCACGACTTCTCCGCGCCTTAGACAAGCACAGCAATGGCGCCTCCTTGCCTTCCGGGCCCTCCGCACCGCCCTCCACTTTAGCTTCCAACGCGTGGGCAGAGCATGCACCACCACGCCTTGACTCAAGGCAGCGCAACGCGCGCAGAGCACGTTCAAGGCAAACTACCCGGACGAACATGTAGTGCAGACGCAATGCCAAGCATTCGTTTATTAAGCTTGGTGCACCTATGGTTCCAGCCAAAAGGCAGCATTTCGTGGGGGCCCTGGCAACTGCGCATGTCACAGAAGCAACACCAGGACATAATCGAGGCGCGCACGTCCCGCACGCTCCGCACAGAAGCACGGCTCGTAAGCAGCGCACTCTGAAATCAGCATCGACAGGGCGCACCTGAGCCCAGCATGGCTCCCGCACACCCAGCAAATCTTCGGAAACGCCATTGCACTTTGCAACGGCGCACACCTTGCCACACCCAAAGCCTTCGACAAAAATGTTCTTGATATTTGCCATCAATCCCTGGGCACAGACACCGGGCTCCGCACGGTCAATACCCAGGAACTCCTCCAGGCCGACCGCGAGCCCTGAAATGAAATCGATTGCTTGTGACAAGCATCAGAGCAGACACGCACGCCCTGCTTCAACCCCGTGCCAAGCCCCCTCTGCAAAAAGGTGGCAAAATCAAGCAAGGCACAGGCGGTGACAAAAAAGGCTCACAGCGCAAAACAAGTTCCGTGATAAAAAAACCGTCGGGGCTCTCACCGAGACAACGAAGAATCTGCAATATTGAAGCATGGCAACAATACCCTTTGCCTTCATTTCAACCGCACGTCCTGCAGAGATGCCAACTGCAAGTTTACGCACCTATGCGCCATCAGGCTGCCCAATGGACAGGCATGCGGGCAGAAGCAGCAGGCATCAGCACACACCAGCGCCTCCTCCAAGCACTTGACAAACTCAGGGGTTGCTTGTGAGGGGAAACCGTTGGAGAAATCTCAGACCTCGCCTCACACAGCACAAGCGCCCGCCAGCGCCATACGCCGCAAGTCAACTGAGGCACCTCCAGCGGCCCAGTCTGGCCACACAGCCTCGCCTCCGCGTGGCCGCAAGTGTACACGCACCTTTCAATCTTTCAAGCAGCAGTTCGTCCAGCGACAGCAGCCCCTCACCTGAACACGGCAAGGCACCTCACCTCCGATTGCAAAACCACGCGAGCTCTCGGCCTGCTGGACGCCAACCCATCTTGACCGACGCGCAACACAGGCTGCTTCTCCGCTTCGCAAGCAGCGGCATACTGGGCTCAGGATGGTCTGCCCCTCCATGCAAAGAATTTTCGCGTCTTAAACGTAGACAGCCCGGGTCCAAAGCGCTGCGCGCGCCTGAC